AGGATCATGACCTGAGCCGAAGGCAGTCGCTTAACCAACTGAGCCACCCAGGCGCCCTGATTTGGCTCTTCTTGAGGCAGTTTACTTTGGTTGCTTTCAAAGAAAAGTGGCAATAACAAAACGTATGCCATTACTACTTTCACAAAGAGGGCTTAGTTAAGAGGATTTTAAAAATCACAATAGTGTGACAAATATACAATAGCAGCAGTTTTAGTCACCTTGATTCAAACATTATATACATGTACACTTTCGTCTGGTGCTGGGCAAACGCCCAACACCAGAGAGGCCAGTTTCATACACTTTTATCAAGTTGTATATAAGTTCAGTACCAGCCTGAAGAAAAGCAAAACACAAAAACAAAAACAAAACCAAAACCTGTTTTTATACATGGTAAACGGGGTTATGAGAGTGGCGGTTCAGAGGTGGGCGGTGGAGTCCAGAGCTGCGTAGTGGTGACGGCCGGAGTGGAGGGAGGCCCAGTCAGCTCTGCAGCTCAAGTCGGGGCGGACGTTCTTTCCGCACCGTCCAAACCCCCGCACCCCTCTCTCGAACGCCATCCTCCCGCCCCCGGAATGCCAGGCGCTGCCCAGTGCGCCCCAAGGAGGGGCTGTACTACCCCGACCCCACGCTGACACAGCTTCAGGTGCAGGGAGGCCCCATCCCTTCCCACCCCCGCGGGTATCCCAACCCGGGCACCTGCACCTTGATGGGCTTGGTGTCGTTGGGGCTGAGGCACTGGCCGTGCATCTCCTCCATGGCCCTGCAGGCCTGGGAGCTGCGGGCAAACTTGACGAAGGCGATACCCTTGGACTCCTTGGTGTGCTTGTCCCGCACCACCCAGATGTCCTGGATCTCGCCGAAGGGCGAGAAGCGCTCCCTCAGCACCGACTCGGGCGTGTACTTGCTGATCACCAGGAAGATGCGGCTGTTGGGCGGCTCGTCCAGGCTGTCCACGCCCGGCCGGAAGCCTCCGCCGCTCGCACAGCTGCCTGCTTCGTCCATGCTGCTCCACCCCGGCGCGGGAGCCAGGCCCGGGTCCCCTTCAGGTCTCCTCGCTTCCGCCGCGCCCGCCACCGCCGCTTTGCACACCCAGCCGTTGTGGGTCCGGCGCTCCGCTTCCGGAAGACGCAAGAGTCGGGCGCCTGCCGCGGTCCGGCCGCGCCTGGTGCCAGCTTCCGGGGAGCTGCCTGCACCGCCCCCTAGCGGTCCGGTGGGTGGGGAGGCCGACCCAGTCCGGGAGTCCAATCCCGCGGAAACGAGGCTCGAACTCAGGTGTGCCATCCACATTCCCTGTGGCCAGAACAGCACTGTCTGGTGCACAGGCTTTCCCAGCGCTGGCTTTATTCCCACCCCTAGAGCCCAAGCATTCTTCCCCCAAAGTTTGCCATCTTGGTCATAAGCTCAATAGAAGACCATTACTGGATAAAGTTAAAAACCCTATAGCCTTTAGAGCTATAAAGAACTTTTGAGATAATCCAATTCCAGCCTGATTTGTTGAGAAAATTGGGATGAGGAAATCGAGGCCCTTGGAATAGCCAAAGATAGTAGGGATACAAATAACAGAGCCAAAACCAGAACCATCTCCGTCTGCTGATCTGCTCAACTCCCACAGACACCCCTGGGGATTTGAGGGCTGAAAGGGTGGACTGCTCAGCTCTAGGACTAGGAGAAATCTTAATGGAAAGCAAAGTGGGAATGCGTACTGACTTCTAAGACTTCTTGTTATAGGGACTTGAGGAGAGGTCAGTGGGAAACTAGGAGAAATCCAGAAACGAGATCTGGATTTTGTAGTGGAGTTGGAATAAAATGAAAAGAATGAAACAGAAAGCGGTCCAGGAGTAGAGCTCTTTGAATGTTCAAGTCCATGCTGCTAAGATCTGGGATGCTTTGAACTTAAACAGATAAATACTATTTATTGTGTGCCAACTGCGTGCCAGCTCTGTGTAAGGAGCTAGACACAACAATAAGGAGAAGGAAAAACATGATCCCTGTCCTCAGAGAGCTTTCTTTCTACTGTGGAAAACTTACACGTAAATATATAGTGCAAAATAATGTCGGATTGTGTTAAATGTTTTCGCCACTGAATTGTGTGAGTTTGGACAAGTCACTTCATATTTCCAACTTCAGTTTCCTCAGCTGCAAGGAGAAATAGTATTACTCACTAAATGGGGTAGTTGTTAAGCTCAGTTAATTCATCCACTTATTTAAAGACTAAATTTTTTGACTGTCTACTATGTGTTGGGCACTGTACTATATTCAAGTGATATAGTATTAAACAAAATGATCATTCTCTTTCTCTTATGAAGTTAATACATTGGGTTTGTATACTTAGGATTTTATGAGATAATATATATGGAGCTCATAGCTTAGGCATCAAATGAGATAATATGTGTACAATGGAACAATGGAGATGAATTTTCTTGTTCCCTTTGACTAGGGTATGCATTCCCCCACTTTTGATATTGTATACTTGTATGACAGCAACTAAGAGTCAGGGATTGTGGGTTCTCACTCTGGCTTTAGCACAAGATTATGATAATTTCTCCTTGCTTTACATCCTGTATCTGTGAAGTAAGGACTCTGTTTACCCTGGAGCTTAGGAAGTCAAGGAAGTATCTTGTTTTAACTTTCCACTTCTCTTTGTCTTACCCAGATCAATCAAAGTGAATGAAAACAATGTGGCAATGTTAATTTTATTGATGTGAGAATCTGAAGATTCTAGCAACACTATTTGCACACCAGTGCCATCTAGTGGAAAATGTATAATTTTCTTGAACTGTTACAGACTGGGCAATTTTCATTCTTTGTAAAACAAAATTACTGATTGGTATGCTGAAAATTTGAGGCTGATGTTTAGAGCAGTTAATTTCTTTTCTTAAAGAAGAGATAAAAGATGAATAAAACAAAACCAGGAACAGAAATATCAGGACATGCTAGGAAAGCAAAATTTCTTTATCAATCATGTGAAATACCACATATGCAAGGAAAATAATAAATTTACTTTCTCTAATGACTTTATGACTTCTCCATCTATTTATTTTAAACAGCTTTCTTGAGATACAATTCATATATCATACAATTCATCCATTTAAAATGTTCAGTTAAATGGTTTTTAGTATGTTCACAGCATTGTGCAACCATCACCACAATCAATTGTAGAACATTTTTTATCACTCAATAATGACAGTTTTGCCATGTGTCAAATCATATAAAATCATATTTGAACATAAATCACATGTAGCTAAAACAGCTAAAAATTCTGAGGTTTGAAACAATGATTATTAATTGGTGTTGTAGTAGAGAAAAGATGTGCTGTGCATTAGCAGATTAAATTTTTTCAAGGCTTTACAACAGCCTATAATGTACAATTATTAGAAGGATAACACTTTTGTTGATTTCACATGAAATCCAGTTTTCCCTTGATGTTTTTCTTCCAAAATTCTTAATAAATTGCTTTTTTAAAAAAACAAGAGATGACATTGTTACTTATTTTTGAAATGCAAGGAGAAAATCATAAATTCTTGTCATTGTTTTCCAAAAGTTCTCAAACTATGATATAATTACAATGATATTTACTGGTTATCAATATTAGTCTTCATACATTATATTTAAGTAAAAATGTTTTGCCTTATTTGAAATTTTTAAATAGGCTTTACCACTGATATGTATTGGTGATCAATTAGTAATTTTCAGATTGTTCTGTATGAATAAGGTCCAGAGTGTCCATTTTTTCCAGCTGTAAGGCTACTAGCTACTGATAATGTATTCATGCACCTACACTGGCATGTGGAAGGCACTAGAGAAAGGGTAGTCTCCTTCCTTTTCTTGAGTTTGCATGTCTTTGTTTGAGTTTGAGAATTATATTTAACACCTGATTCCCCCCCCCCAAACCTGGTCCTTTTCATTCAACTTTTTTAAAAAAGATTTTATTTGTTTATTTGAAGGAAAGAGAGAGAGAGCACAAGCAGGGGGAGTGGCAGAGGGAGAGGGAGAAGCAGGCTCCCCACTGAGCAGATAGCCCAACTGGGGCTCAATCCCAAGACCCTGGGATCATGACATGAACCTAAGGCAGCTGCTTAACCAACTGAAACACCCAGGCACCCCCCTTTTCATTCAACTTGATGACATCTACATTTTAAATATGTTGATCATAGAACAGATTCATAGGTACCACTTAGAATAGTTTCATTCAACCATCTGGTAATTGTGACTATTTAAATTAAAATAAAAATTAATTAAATTAAATAAAATGAACTATAATTAAAATAATAAAAATTTCAGTTACCCAGTTGCATTAGCCACACTTCAAGTACTCAAAGTTACTTGTGGCTAGTAGACAGTGCCCACGTAGAACATTTCAATCATAGAGTATATTGGACAGAGCTCTGGAGAACTAGACTACGGAAAACGTCCTACATATCTAATACACAAAATTTTCCCTATTACAAGTACTTCGTTGAACAACTTTTTTTTTTTAAGATTTTATTTATTTATTTGACAGAGACACAGCGAGAGAGGGAACACAAGCAGGGGGGGTGGGAGAGGGAGAAGCAGGCTTCCCGCGGAGCAGGGAGCCCGATGCGGGGCTCCATCCCAGGACCCTGGGATCATGACCTGAGCCCAATGCAGAAGCTTAACGACTGAGCCACCCAGGTGCCCCACTTTTTTGACTTACTTAAAAATTATTTTAATACTCCTATTTCTCTGTCCCCTTACCACTCATGTCTCACTGAAGTAATTATGTAACCAGGGGTAAGCAACTTTCCTTTCTCACGTTTTCCTAAATACAACTTTAACTTTGACCTGTCCACCTTCAAAACTCTCATCTTCTTGTAGCTTTTTCAGTCCTTCCCTCCGTATCTCCTTTCTTTGCTCTTTCAGTTCTAATTCTCTTTGTTTCTATTCATACTTTATATCACTTTTTTTTTTTGCAATTAGCAAGCAGCTTGCAACCTGGGTGTCAGTTCTTATTGTATTTTCTCTAATGTATCTCATTTATAATAACATTTATAATCATTTATAATGATTTAACTTTTAATGTATTTAAATCTTCTCCCAGCTGAATTGTAACTCAGAAAATTGGAGCTGCAGTTCAGTTTTTGTGCAAGTTGCTTAGCACAGTGACTTGCACATCCTAAGTATTTGTTTTATTCTTTTGTTGACACGATATGATTCCTGCAATCAAATGCTAATGGCCCATTCATAAAAAGTTGAGTTCCTGCTTAAAGCAAGAACTGGGACACGCGGTCAATATGCATAGATAATTTAGCTCTTTGGTTAGGCAAAAAACAAAAGATGGGCTTGGGGCTGCTGCGCTCAAAAGACATTCACTTTGTCACGTTTAGATTCAGCCTGCGACTGCCCAGCAAATCCAAGTTTTTAAGTTTCTGCCAGAGTTGCCAACTTGCGGGATCTGGGAGCCAATCAGCAGCGCGGATGGAGCCTGGCCTGCTATTGGCTGGAGTCCACCGGAAGCACATGCCGGGCTGGGCCTCCAGTGCAGGTGTTTGAGGCACTGCTGTCGGAGCGCCAGCCTCAAACTTGCAGCCCAGGTTCTGGTCCCGGAGAGGCCCGGGTGACTACTAAGGGTTCTCCAGGGAGGCGGTGGGCGGAGCCGCTGGCCCTCCGGTAGGTATGGGACTGGCTGGGAAGGAGTGGGCCGGGCAGCCATGTGATCTATGCACCGGTTATGGGCTAGTGCAGTTTGGGCTGGGGTTCATTCAGAGAGGAGTATCCAACCGTCCCGCTAGTAAGAGACTCCCCTTAGCCCTCACCTGGTGGCGAATAGGTGTCCCTAAGTGCAGCATAAAACTATTTCTAGGGGCGCCTGGGTGGCTCAGTTGGTTAAGCGACTGCCTTCAGCTCAGGTCATGGTCCTGGAGTCCTGGGATCGAGTCCCACATCGGGCTCCAAGCTCAGTGGGGAGCCTGCTTCTCCCTCTGACCCTCTCTCCTCTCATGCTGTTTCTCTCTCTCAAATAAATAAATAAATAAAATCTTTAAAAACAAAAAACAAAAAACTATTTCTAGTGAGGGGCCTGTCTGCAGCTTTTATGATTTCTGTGTGGAACTGATTTGGGGCAGAGCCTTCCGCCCACAGTTGGCAGAGGTCAGCCTCCAATTGGGGGTGGTGG